TAGGAAGCTAATGCTAAACAGATTTTAAAAAACGCCATTTAGGAAGCTAATGCTAAACCGCTAAAGATACAGAAAAATGGAAGAAAGCTAACATTAATGGCTAAACAGATAAAAAAAAAAAACAATCTGAGGAAAATTCGAGTAAGCTAAAGCTAAACATATTTTAATAATTAGAAGACACTAATGCTAAGCTGCTAACTGGATTAAAAAATGAAGAAGCTAACCTGTAAAACAAATCTTCATCCAAACTGTTTGTTTTCCATCAACGGAGCAAATCAGTTCTTCTTCTGTCCAGCGTGATCTTTCCGATTTAGCCCTTTCAGAATAAAAGCATTTCTTTGATCAACTTTCTATTTTTATAAATTCTGTTTATAGTCAAATAAATAGAAAATACTTCATCTACCCTATTTTATATGTAATCAGGCTTTGTGTTTATTTAAATAGAGGATGGTTTTTATTTAATTCAGATGAACTGTGTAAAATAATTTTAGTTGTGTTTAGCTAAACCTAATTTAGCGGTACCTAATCAATCTGCTAACAGTTTCCAAACTGAATAAAAAAAGCTACGCTAGTTCAGCTATTAGCAGAACTGTGGCCACCACTGGGTGTAAACAACCCTAACAGACCTGAATCCAAGAACCAGACCGATGAGGACCCCTTCACACAGCAGTCCTGGTCCTGGTGGTCCACTATCCTGAAAGGTTCAGAGGTGACCCTGAACGAACGGGCTTCATGCAGGATGGTGGTCCACCAGGACCAGGACTGGTAATGAGACCTCCAGAGTCCATCATGACCTTTGACCCCAACATCAGAGGCTGCACTGACCTCATTTATAAATAAAACTGTTCCATWAACAAACAGAACACCTGACAATAAAAATATTTTAATTAAAATGTGGATATTTTGAAAAAAATTGTTTTTGTTTTACTTTAAATGAATTTAGGCAAACTGACTGTTTTTATGTTTTCAGGATTTTTTTTTTTAAAGTTTTCATTATTTAAAGGATTCAGAGACAGAGAGCAAATTAAAAAGGTTTCAAACATTGAAGCTTTTATTAGAAACGTTTGCTGAAACAAAAACATAAAAGTCTAAAGTGAAGCAGCTGAACAGGAAGTGTTTCTGTTAGTCGCCTGAACAACAAACTTTAGTTTCTAACCTTTCAGCTAATTTACTCCTCGAGCTTTTCTACAAACGTATAAAAGATGAAAAAAATAAAAACAGGAGCCGGCGCCGACGTCACGTTTCGCTTCACGCTTTGTTTTTGTCGGAGCTCTCCGGTTCCGAGTCCTCCCCCCCGCTGCCGAAGCGCCGGCTCAGCTCCGCCGTCAGGACCGAGCAGCAGGACTTCTGAAACAGAGTCAGACAGGAGGTCAGAGAGCCCGCCTGGTTCTGTCGGGTCATGAAGGGGAGTCCCTCCTTACCTTCCCAGCCTTGGCTCGGGTCCGGGCCCGGGCCAGGAGCTCCAACAAGGCCAGCAGCAGCCCCACGCCCAGACCCAGACCCAGGAGCAGGAAGAGAGCCCGCAGGTCGTGGGGCTTCAGCGCCTCGGAGGCGTGGGCCTCGCCGGCGCCCACGCAGCTGCTGGCCCACCACTTGTCCCTCAGGTGGGTCAGCTCGCCCGCCTCGCTCAGCTGCAGGATGGCGATGGACAGGTTCTTCACCAGCGGGGACCCTGAGGGGGCGGAGCCAAAGGAACAGCTGAGCGAGGTCCATTTACTGCACTTTGTGCTGTTTCAACAAGTGAAAACCTTCAAATCAGGACTTTCTGATTATTTTTTATCATTTTTGAGATTTTTAACAGTTTCAGCTCTTTTTGTTCTCGTTAAAATGTAACGTAGTCGTTTTTAACATGTCTAAACCACAGATGTATAAAGGCTAGGTCATAGAGTCTCCGACGTCCTCACACGGCGGCCATCTTGGGTCAGGGAGCTGGCCCACTCCTAACATGAATGTGTGTATTTATTAGGGCTGTGTATTGGCAAGACTTTGGCGATACGATACATATCATGACAGAGGGGTCACGATACGATATATCC